TCAAATAAAGCATATAAATCATTAAATAAAGCAATCTTTTTTTACACAATGCCTTTCATAATATTGTTAAATGTCAGCTTATTTTTTGGCCTAGACAAGATATTGTTTGGTATTCTAGTGCACTTATTTCGATAAGTGTTTCGATATTTCAAAATTTCGACAACTTTCCATAATACGCTGGGAAGTTACTGTTATAGTCAGAAAACAATGAGATAGGACCAGAACAGGGAAGAAATCTGAGGAGGGGAAAACAAGAGTGAGAGAGAAGCGGGAAGACATTTTGGTAGCGAGGTGGGGTGGTTGGGGTGAGCTCTGGACAATCGAGCTGGAGACGAAACAATGGAGCCTCTGTTAGTATTCTGTTGGTGTTTGTGCAGACCAGCACTCTGCACACAAGAACCTGTGCTGGGCCTAGGGCTGTGTATCACCAGCAAAGTCACGATACAGAGGCCATGATACGATACGAATCACGATACATGACTACACTGAATTTCACCTCAGCAGAATTGAGAAAAACAGCTGTTTATTAAACACTGCTTACTATAGTCACTGGTGTCAAAAGTATTCACGTTCATTAGGTAGAAGTATAGATACTAGGGTTTAAAAAGACTTCTGTAGAAGTTGAAGTATCAACTCAAGCTTTTTACTCAAGTAAAAGTGTAAAAGTACTGGTTTCAAAACTACTTAAAGTATAAAAGTAAAAGTAATGTAAGGAAAAAAATGCCATTAAGGACAAAAGCTTAGGCCGCGCCCCAGGGGCCTATTGTGCCCTTCCCCCCCTCCTCAAAAAAAAAATTTTCTAAAGGCCATAATGACTATAATGTTATATTAAAATGTTAATGTTGAAAAATGTGGGATGCACTAGGCTACCTGTTTCAGCCGCATATATGCCCATTGAAAATGAACGCATTTTAGTACAAAGCAAATACATTAAAGAACCATATATGTGTACTACTGAGCATTAAAATGTGTTTCATGGAGCGGAAGATATGATGACTAGTTGCCTATAAGTATTGTAATGATGCAAAAAGTCAAACTTCAGAGGCATGTCATCAATAACCTTTATTGGAATGTAAATGTTCATCCAAGCTTAGCTGCAGGAATCTGTGAGGGCAACAGACAAGAAAATTGGTGTACCCAGGGCAGGCTTACCCTAAACCTACAATTACCCTTGTATGGTTGTCTATATACAATAAACATTAGTGCTGTCAAAATGAATGATTAATCCAAGTGATTAACCAACAAATAAAAATTAAAAATAACTTATAATCCTGATACCTTCCTGGTATGTACTATGCTCAATTCTATAGCTAATGGCAACAATGTCACATTTAACTAGAAGATCGCGTTGTCAATCGCAAACGCTAATTTATTCAAGCGTCTCTCTACCGAACTACCTACTGTAGCTTAATTTGCAGAGGACGAAGAGAAAGCACCCGTTTGATAAATGAGCCAGTAGTGGAGAAATAATAACTTTTAAGAAATACTCTTTTTTGAGTAACGACCTCAACACTGGCTATGTCCTTGCTGGAGTGTGACGTGATTTGTGTCACGTGCAGGTGCGATGGATCGCGTACAAACCAATAGGGTGTCGGAATGGTATATGTTTATACTTCTCATCCAACCACAATCAAATTCACTCTATCCGGATAGGTTTTTTTTTTTTACGATGACAAGCCGAAATGAAATAGGAGTAACGAGGGGGTATTTTTAAAATAGAAAAGTAGAAAGTACAGATAATTGCGTGAAAATGTAAGGAGTAGAAGTAAAAAGTCGGCTGAAAAATAATTACTCCAGTAAAGTATAGATACCCAAAATTTCTATTTAAGTAAGGTAACGAAGTATTGTACTTCGTTACTTGACACCTCTGACTATAGTGCCATTTATAACTATTGGCAGAGCAGGCAGCTGACCTCTGCATTATGAAGGGCCTCCATAACTGTACCACAGTACAATATAGGTAATGGCATATGTTTCATGTTTACATTGTGCACTCCCCACCAGGTACAATATTCTGATTGTTTGCATCTTGTTTTTAAGCCCATAAATAATAATGTACTTGTTCTAATAAATTTATATTGTATTGTACTCATTCTAATATGTTTAAAAAATAATTTACATTGATGGAAGGTTATCATTGCACAAATTAGCACACTCTCTACAATAAAAAAAAAAAATTAGAAGAGTTCTAAACTAACGTCTTCACTGTATGTAACGCACACACGCTCAAGGCTGATTTATGGCTGATTTATACTCGAGCGTCAGCAAGTTCGCTTTGAGTGCGCGCGACGTCACTTCGCGTGGCGGTGTGCACAACATTTTTTGTAACTTTCCGCGCAGCTCCGCTTCCGAAGATGCACGAGTTCAAAGCGACTCTAGCCGAACATGCACATCTGTGCCAGCATTTGTGTGAAACAAGCAGTTTGGTGTTAAGTGCAGTCACACTCAGATCACGCTGCGGCCGAACTCAGACATTCAGGAACAAACTTTTTAGTGCTGCCCTGCAGTTTTATCAACTAAATAGCTTAATCGCTCAAGAGCTACATTATCTTTCTCAACAAGGAGCTGGTAGCATCATTGTTTCTAAAGGAATTAAAGCCACATCTTTACTGTTAATAGAGAAACGCGGCAAAACGGTGGTAATTCATACATACACAGCCTCTCTCTCTCGCTCTGTGTCGTAAATGAACAGTTGATGAATCACACTTTCCTGAGAATAGACTTGAAGTGGAGATAGCTAAACTGCAAGCTAAGCGGTGTTTTCAGAAAGCAAGCGCGTTTATCCAGTGGAGAGAGAGCGCGTGCACATGGTTGCCAGGTTGACAAAGATAAGTAGCACGTTTAGCAGATATTTCTGTATTGCGCAAGTGTAAAGCTCTGTTTTGGGGATTACGTCTCTTTATATCAGGCAACCCCGTTGTGTTCCTCTGCGGCCAGATTATTAACAGATGCTCTATTCATTCTTTTTTAGAAACCTCGCACTTTTCTACTAAATTTTAAACGTTGTAAAATTAAGAGTGGTCCACTGCTGCACACGTGCCACAGTATCGATACAGGGCCAGCTGTATCGATACTCGTATCGTCAAATCTCTGTGACGATACATCGTCGTATCGATGCTGGGCCCTCCGCAGACTGTGGCCCCTCTGTAAAACTCGGCTACTGTAACACGTGTGTGTGCTCGGTTACAACATATATACAATAGTTCTACAGACAATAATACATAAAATTATAATTACGGTGTTTAACCTTATGGGAATGTACTCCTGACTGTTGTATAGCAGAATCAAGCACAGCTGATTTTGTGATTGAAATGTGTGATTGAGTTGGAGGGTTGTTGGAGAGCTCCTGAGTGGGCAGAATTGAGTCCAGATGTTTGCCCCTCAGTAGGATATGAGTCCTGTCCTCCCCCAGAGGCCCCTAAGATACTCTTTTGGGAGGAGGAGCAAGTTATGCTATTTGACATCCAACAGCCCTTCTGACTTGGTGAAGTTTCTCTCCCTTCGTCCATTGAGAGATGCTCTGCCGCCCCCATCTCCTTCTGACTCTCTCTCCCTTTCTCTTTTTGAGCATGCATGGGGGCAGATGTCAGTCCCGACAGCAGCGGCCGCTAAATACGGCCCTTCATGGCACAAGCCAAAGGTTAATAAAATCGGTAGCAAATGTATCAATTTTTCAGATAAGCCATTCACAACAAGTGTATTCGGCTGAATAAAAAGTCAATTCAAGCCCATGGAAACCACATGCAGTAGCAGTGAATGGGCGCTTTTTAGGTGCCTTTTTTGAGAGGGAGGGTAAATGGAGAATTGCAGCCTCTCTCCTTCATCGCCATCGCCACCACACAAGCCCAGCCAGTAAATTGCTCTGAATGGGGGCTGGAGGTTGACAGGCCCTATTAAGACAAACGGCCTTCCTCATCGGAGAGATAAAATAAATCAGTGTGTTTAGTCAAATTAAAATAGTTGAACTAGAGCGGGCCCCAGGGAGCCCCTTCGGAGAAACTCAAGACAGATGTGGCCAGGGGAGCACAGGAAGACACCCAGGAAAGAATTTAACACTGAGCTGGCCGCGAGCCAAGCCGATCGTACTGTTCTCATGGAGCAGCAGGTTACTGTCCGGAGGCAGGATCACTTAGCTTTGATTAGCTAAAGGTACAGCGCGACCTCATGGGAGGACGTGCAGAATGCACGCACATTGTCTGGTGTGATTACGCTGTTTGATGCGTGCGAGAGAGATAATGAGAGGATACAGAGGTGACGGTGACCCTGTTTGCGAGAGGCACGTCAGCTCTGAGGTGTTTGTGTCTGCTCCTCCCTTAATGAGAATTGAGAGCGGTCATTACATGGCAGCGCCTCCAGTCGTGCAACTGTCGCACACACACGTGCCCTGTATCGTCTATCGCTAATCTGGCACCTTCACTCATCTTGTGACAACTCCTCTTATTTAATAGGAACAATTCCATTCCTCACCATCTCTCCAAGAAGCTGCGATCACCAAAAGTGGAAAGAGAGAGCAGGACTTGCGACCTTCGCACTTTTAATGAAGCCTTTCCATTATCAGGCTATTTGGATGATACCATTCTCGGTTTTGAAGGAGCTAGAGTTTCCCTCCCGGACCGCCTTCTGTGGTCTTCGGGAATTCAGGACTGAGACGTACTGTAGCTGTTTTGATGCCCAGCATTTGCTAGCTCTGTCCTGTCCTCTCAGGGAAAAAAAAACAACTTGTTGGTTCCTGGAACTTCTCGATTGTGGGAATTTTATTTCTCTGAAGCGTAGATCAATTAACAAGGCTCTGTTTTCCACTACTTGCTTTGTTTGCTGTTCTGTCTCTAGGAAAACTGACCTTTGCCTTCATAGAGACTATATTTAAGAGGTGATGTAACATGAGATGTAAAACTTTTTTTCTCACCGCTGAGAGAGTGCACAGGGTCATGGAGAGAAGACCTTTTTTTTCTCTTTTACCTTTTGGTTCCTTGTGTTTGACTACATGTGTTCTGTTGCAGGTACTCCAGAAAGTCTCGCAGAGAAGGAGAGACAGCTCTCCACCATGATCACACAGCTCATTAGCCTTCGAGAGCAGCTCCTGGCTGCCCATGATGACCAGAAGAAACTGGCCGCCTCACAGATGGAGAAACAATGTCAGCAAATGGAGCTGGCACGCCAACAGCAAGAGCAGGTGAGAATGTGCAAACCAGGGTGGAGCGCCATTGAGAATTAAATTCAGAAACAATTTTAATGTAATTGGAATTGAGGTAGCAAAGTGCAGTTTAAATTTGGATTGTAAAGAAGTAGAATGAAAATTAATAAAAATTCGAAGAAATTTAGACTGTAATTTTTAACTAGAATTGCAAAATTAGTCAGGACAATATTTGAATTTCAGTGTAAATGTTTTGAAAAAAGTTGCATATATTTGAAATTTCACCTGTAGAATTTAGTTTCATCATAGTTTTTTTTTTTTTTTAGTCTTGAATGTAATTGGAATTGAGGTAGCAAAGTGCAGTTTAAATTTGGATTGTAAAGAAGTAGAATGAAAATAGAAACTAGAATTGCAAAATTAGTCAGGACAATATTTGAATTTCAGTGTAAATGTTTTGAAAAAAGTTGCATATATTTGAAATTTCACCTGTAGAATTTAGTTTCATCATAGTTTTTTTTTTTTTTTTAATTAACGTTTGTGGACCTGTGTGAAAGAACTTTATTTCCCAGAATGCATATTTGAATTACAATTCAGTGAATTCCTTTTCTTGCCATTCCAATTCAAATACACATTCAAATCTCTTACTGGCTTCATATTTTATATGTCCTATGAATCCAGTTGTTGTGTTTAAAGCCAGTCTAATGAAGATATTATCAGCCATGCATCACGTATTCTCATTTTGCAGCCTCATTTATCAGAGGAGGCACTTAAAACAAGATTGCTTTTATTTGCTTTTAAATAGGTAATGAGTTCTTCTATTTAGCGATTGGATATTTTAATTTAGTTTATGGCTTGATGTTTCACTCCTTGATAAATCGGGTTCTGTCGTCGTGAAGACAGAAACACAGAGTTACTGTTATTGTATATAACTGATAAAATATGGAAGCATGTAAATTGGTAGGGAAATTGATCACTATTAGTTCAAAATTTGCACGAAAGTCATGTGTAGATCAAGCAAATGAGGTGTACTGAACGCATCAGCAGCTCATGAGCTCTGTTAATGTTGCACAAGATCCATCTACATCTTCACTATTTTTATAGTGAAACCATATAATTGCTGTCAATTTATTATGCAGATGAATAGGTGCATATTAATGTTGTCTGCATTTACTTGAAATGGATGCACGTTTTCTAATTCATCATATTAATGTCACCCGACTCTCCACATTAATGTTCAACTTTATGAGGATTGTATATTCAGTGTATGCTCAGCTGATTTTAATAACCAGTTATTTGAAGAATGTACTGTTTTGCAAATGTCCAAAAATGCATCCCTTCCCATTAATGACAAACAAAATGGAGGGAGAGGATAGTAGAGAGCGAGAGAGAAAAATAGGGAGGGAGGAAGGGGGGAGCCTGAAGTTAGGATGTCATTTAGCCATCCAGATATGACACAGTAATTAACTGTTGACACTAGTGAAGAAGCCAGCACAAATTAATCCTGACACATTTGCAGACGGGTGATATCTTACAGTGAACACTTTGTAATTATATTTGAAAATGAAAATTAAATGACACTTAAACCTAGGCTGTCAGGCTAACTGAGGAGGAGGAACGGGGGAGTCTGCAGGGGCTGGGAGAAATTGAGAGAGAGGGAGGATGCAATGCGCTTAAGAGCCCACCCTTGGGCAGACCCGACCACTCCTAGGTTGCATAAACATGCCAGTCTTTCACCCCGCGGCGCATCACCCCAGCCAGGCCTGGAGCTGGATATAATACACATTAGCAGTCCTCTGATTACAGTCATTAGGTTCAATTGGTGGACGAGAGATGTTACCCACAAGCTCTGATTGCATATATTATCTGTCTGCATGAATGCATAGTACAATAAATCGAGTTGCTCTCTCATAGACTATGATAACATACATTCTTTAATGCTTTAGGTTGAAGATTTCTAGCGATGTTCAACTAAACAAATCATTTTGCTTTCGCAGATTGCCAGACAACAGCAGCAACTTCTGCAGCAACAGCACAAAATCAATCTCCTCCAGCAGCAGATCCAGGTCAGTGCTGGGCTTTCACGTCTTCATTCTGTCAAAAAACGCTATTTTGTTTTTACAGCTATCATCAATCACATTACAACTGTCACCAATCAGGATAATTGGCCAATGGTAATTCGGAAGGGGCTATAGATGGGTAGAATAATTATCACTCCCTAATTAATGAAGGAAGGGAAAAAACAGAAATGAGAGAAAGCTTAATGACACCAAGTGGTGCCTGTTTGCATGTTTTGTGGAAAAGTGCCCTAAGGGTTTGAGACATGAAAGCCAGTGATAAATGCCTCTGAAATTACACCGTCCCAGCACGGTGACGTGGCAGCGGCTTTGGAAAAGGAGCACAGGCGCTACTGTTAGCCCTGTTTCCTATTGTCCGATATTGGAAAAATCACTTCGCATTCATTTGCTTAACTCCATTGCGGCCGACGATCCTGTAAACATACCTTGTTGACACACAAATTGTGCAAAACTTGGCTTTTGCAAATATTTGCTGCTTGCTTTAAGTCAGTTTGAGTGATCTTTTGAAGGTCTCTCTTTATAAGTGTGCTTCAAGAATAGGCTCATTGAAAGTTTGCTCTTTGCTTTAAAATAATTGAATTGGATTAGTTGCAAAGTACACACTGTGGTCACCCAAATTTGTTTTCTCGCCACAAAGTGGATTGGGCTTTTTTCCCCTCTCCGATAAGCAATTATGTGAAATGAAAAAATGTAAAGGAGGGAGAATAAAGAGAATGCTTACAAGAGCACCATAAATATGTTTGACGTATATGTGAAGAAAGAGGAGGAAAAGATACAGCATAAGAATGAGTGTTTGTGAGTGAGAGAGCCATTGGCTTGTGTGGTATGTGGTGCTCCATCAAGCAAGGTTAGCAGACCACCCAGTCGCAGACGTGGATGTACACAAGCTGGTCAGTGGCAGTGGTCAAGGTCTTTTACGCACACCGTACACACATAAAAGCCAAGGGCAACAAGAGCAGCCTGTGCCTGGACATACTTTCTTCCTTCTCTTCTTTTTTTCCCACTTGGTTTTGCACATTCGTTGGAGACAGGTACAATGTTCCCCACTCCTCTTTTCTCTCCCAGATTCACACCCAATGCACCATTATGTCAGCCGGTCTTCTCTCACATTTTACACACTCGTTTCATTCTTTACTTCTCAGTCCTCACTTTTCACTCTCTATTTCACATCTCATATCTTCCTCTGCGTTTGACTTCCACTTCAAAGCCCCTGAGTTTGAGGCCCTCAGAAAGGAATCCTGGTCGGTTTTCTTCTCAGTGCTCTACCTGTCATTGTGAGGTTAACCATCAGCCTTTCTTTCTCTCTCTGCTTAGATGTGTCAGGTAAAAACAAACCGCTGTCTTATTTACACAGCCCGAAGCATGACAGATTTATAGCTCGGCAGTAAAACCTCTTTCAAGTGCACTTCTCAAGAGAAAGGCCAATCTGTTAAAGGCGCGCGCTGTTGAAGAGCCCCGCAGAACTAGCCACTGTGCTACTACCTCTCTACCATGCCGGGTGTGTGAGAAGTACCACTCTTCGATTTCCAGTAGACAGGCCCCTACATGCTTGCTGTGTGTTCAGTCGGTAGCAGTGGAGTAAGAGTTCGTGTGAACAGTTTAATTACCTTTAGGAGTGGAGGCTGCTGGGCTTGGATATTCTCAACTAGTGACGGAGCTCATCCTGAGCATCTGGGCTATGCTATACTGTCATTCCTGCAGTGCACTGAGGAGTAGCTAATTGAAGTTGCTATGTTAACATAAGATTTTTTTTTCCAGTAGCATGACATTAACTAAGCTGTTGTCAAAGTACAAATAGAGGTGTAGCATTATGTTAACTGTCACATTGTATGGCGCAGTGACAGACATTTATAATGCTACAAAAGATTTAAAATAAGTAATGTTAATCAAAGATTGTCAGTCCTGAAAAAGGTATCACAGTTTCCAAAGAAATATTAAGCAGGACAATCAGTAATAATAAGAAATATTTTTCTCGCATCAAATCAGCATATTATAAGGATTTCTGAAGGATCATGTGACATTGTAGACTTTTTGAAAAATATCTCGACTGTAGTTTATGGAGCTCTGATCCCCCTTTTCTTGTCCAAGATTATAACAGAAAAGACGGTCTCCATTTGCTGCATTTAATGGCTGTTACACTGTAATCACAGATGTTTATACCAGAACACCACCAAAAACAGAGACACTAAGAAAGTCAGGCTTAGGATGTGTACTCTCTTATCATGCTTTTTATCTTCTTTGACTTTGTTTCCATATAAATCATTACCATTGCCTCCCTATGTGACCCATTTAACTTCCGTCTCCAGAGGCCACAGCTTGTCGTAAAGAAGAAGAAGTCGGAAGACAAGAGTAGGATGCAATGGGAAGCGAGAGGAGGCGGCTTGCTAATGCAGTTCCCTGGCACTCTGTTTTCATTAGAGCTAGCTCAACAACAACAAAAAAAGCCCAGTGCTCTTAATATACAACAGCTTTGAGTTAATTAGTACTCCAAACAAGCTCTTCAGCCTTCATGTAGAAGACGTAAAAGTTGAGTGGTAAAACAGCATGCAAGGATTGGGTTTCCCCACTGTTAGCGTGGAGTGTGTGCGTGGTTTAAAGAGCCAGCTTCCCCATCAAAGCACTACTGTTTTGGCTCACATGGTAAGCGGCGTTTTAGACAATTATTGATGATGTAACTGATCACATCACTGGATTCTGTAAATGGGACTGAATGGGGTCCAAATAAAACCATTGGGCCTGTAACCCAATACAGCGTTGGCTTAGAAAATCAGTTCTGGTTTTCTCCGGAGTTTGGCACTTTGCGTTGCCCAAATCAAACCATTTTAAATTGCCCTTCTCTCCGTTTCATCACATTTTTACGAAGAATTCAGAGAGATGAAGAGATTGAGTCTTTGTCTTTTCGGGAATTACAATGTCACTTGTTTTAAAGATAACAGATGTTTCGATTATAGCGTTAGAGGCTTATCCAAACTTCAAGCTCAAGGTTTTACTTCTTATTTATTCCTTTAGCCAAAAGCCTCTTGTTGAGAAATTTCATATGGCAACTAATTCCATCCAGGGACCGGATTACTGTTATGTGACTTAAGCACGAACTTAAAAGCACCATCAGAGATTGAAGGAGAGGCTTAAGAACAACTAAAAACAAATGTCGAAGTAAATCTTGATCTGAAAGAGAAAATGTGTTACTTATGTAAGACAAGTAAAGCCGCACAAATAAGACCATGTAGGCCTAAAAGCCACCGCCTCCAACAGGAAGGCAAGCCTGCGTTGGTTGTTCAAAGAATCGGTATTTATCAAGCCAAGTGATTCGGCTTCCGCTGACCTGTTTACAAAGAGCCAGTCACCTTGACAGTTCCACTCACTGTTTTATTCGCCCTCATGCCATTACAGTCAGCTGTAATTCTGGATGGCTTCCTGTAGGAAAGAAAAAAAGTATGTGAGAAATCTTTATTATCTCAAGTCATTAAATGGAGAGAAAATGGATACTTTTATTTTCTGTAAATAAATGTTTTTTAGCCCAAGAAATATAATATAAAAATCATTTATAAAAAATAATATAATAATAATGTTATGAACAAATATTTTTAAAATAATTTTTAAGATCAAAGTTTATGATCTCCGAAATGATATCGATATGTGATTAATCACTTTCCCTTTTAAATTTCCTTGTCTTTTGTTTTGCCTGAGCTCCCCATAATGACGAAATATGTCCGTGTATATGAGGCTAGAGCACAAAAAGGCTTTCTTTGTCCAGGAGGTTGTCAGGAGAGACTGTTCTTTGTCCTCCAAGCTCATATGTCTCTTACACTTAATACTTATTATTACAGCTGCATGCTCAGTTGAGATTTCAAAGGCCTGTACGTGTGTGCATGTGTATTAGGTGCTATTGTCTCTCTCTGGGCTGTGTTTTGCGACAGCAGCTGTAAATTCCCAGGCTGGACTAAGGGACGATCTGGACTGGGTTGATGGATGATCTCTAGCACAGACATGGCTTGGTTCCAGGCATTCCTGCACTCTGGGGCTGGTACGATGTTAGCTGAGGCGACGCAGGGAGGAGAACACACAGGTGGAGGCAGGCTCATCTTATTGTATTCACACATGCTCAAGCATCAAGAGAAGAATGATTCCCTCAAAGGTCAGCGTGAACTTTAGATACTGAGAAGAGGCAAGTCTACGTTGTGTTTGAGGAAAAATTCCCTTTGAGATTAAACAACTCTTTCTCTACGAGAATCCCATTATGACGCTCATATGCTGTCTCTCATATCACAGCAAACAAGAGTTTATTAGCTCTGATCTCGTTCTCCCTCCTCACACCGCTCGGCTACGAGAGATAGAGAGAGATAGGCACACTGAGCTCTGTTTGTCAACAGACAGAGATGCTGTTTGTCCGTGTAAGGCCATTGTTGTGCCGACGGTTGCTTCCTGTGTTTTAAAGCAGACCGCCGGTTCAAACACTCTGTCATTGTACAGGCCTGGTTCTACTTATCTAACCCCAGGGCTCCGCTTCCTCTTGCTACTCTACTGAGAGAAACCTCCACGTGGCTGTCTTCCGCTGTCCTCCCCCTCTCTTCCTCCCACCCGTCCCCCCTCTCCCCTCTTTCTCCTGCCAGCACCGACTGGATCACACAGATCTCTCGCTCTCCATCTCTCACCTTCTTCTGGCAAGCGCCACTTCTCATCCACTTTTCTCAATCCTAGACGGAATCTGTACACCTTTACCCATCCCCCCCCCCCCCAAGCGGTTTATGGGGGAAATCAGGGAAATCAGGGAAAGTTGGAATAGGTTTGATTAATTTATTTGATAAAATATATTTATCAGAGGAGGGAATTCAAATATATAAACAAATAATAATAAAATATATAATAAAAAAATATAATATTATGTATGTTATTATATAATATATACAATTATATTTATATGATCTTTTTTATATAATACTATATAGTGTATTTATATTTATTTATATATGTATTAATAAGAGTTTACC